GTATAAAGTAAGTAATTGGTTTGTACGATTCTGTAGGTATAACTACATATGTCAAGTATACTCGACGAATGGTACTGTCAGAGAACCGAAACGTATAGATGTGTCACCTACATGGAGGGAAATCGTCCGTTAAACAACATCCATTATGACAAGAAACAATATTACTGTCCATTATTACCGTTAACATTATTCCTTTGATCAATCATAGAAAAGGAAAAATTGTTTCCAAAGACAACCCCGATATTAACACCTGTAATATTCTTTTCGTAAAAATATATGATATATAATGATTTGGTAAAATAAAGTTATGTATGTTCATTTAATAAGATAAAATTTTCACGTGCATCAGAGAACTAATGAGTCTGTCATTTGAATGTCAACGAAAACTATTCAAGATTTTAATGTCCATTATCAAAGACAACGCTGAAACCAATCCTACCATTCACCGCTTCTTCGATTTGATCTATTTTATTATCTTATTTGCGATCAGCTACCGACTTCAGTTCAGCAGTCCTAGATGGGTTGCCTAACTGTTCGATCTGATCTTGACCTCCGTAGGTACCTACTCCTCTGAAGAGTAATTTCTTTTCTGACTCACGGAGAACTGATAAGACAAGGGATAACGAACGTAGACGTTCCAGGGATATCAAATTGATATTCCTTTATTAACGACCAAACGTTTTGACGTCATCCTTTAGTATTTGCTTATTATTTAAATAATAGGTAGAAATTCTTTCCATTTTACCACTAAAAACTAATCTCACTTATGTATCTATAAATTTAAAGTTTGATTAATTTGATCATTTACTTATTTTATGTTCTTCTAGAATTTTTATTATTTATTACCATTATTATTCAATTACATTTGCCTACTTGCAATTTAGGTTAATTATGTAAACATTCAATCGTCAATTCGCGTCTCTTCCACTAAAAAAATTAAGATCATTGTTCACCTATAAAACAAGTATGTAATTAATAAAAATTACGCTGCAGTCTATAATATTAACACTTCAGCAGAATAATATTTTGTTTTGTTAATTTTTAACTGAGGAATATTTATTTTTAACTTGTTTAACTTTGTTTCTTAACCGACCATTCGACTGTGCAATTACAATAGGAATAAATAAGTAGAAGTGTGTATTGCAAAGTGCCGGTATGTCTAGTGTTGAAGGAAATGTAAAAATTTGCTTCCTACATCCGTTTTTAACTTTTAAAAAGTAATATTAGAACAGTATCAAAACATTTTGTAATTGAATAAAGTTCAAGTCTAAAATTAATTTTTTACAGTAAAGATTCATTCAGTCAGTTCACAGAACATCGGGTTTACGTATCGTACGTTCAGATTTTAGAGTTAATACTAGGATCATTCGATTATGTGTCATGAAAATTCCAGTTCAGTCGATATTTTCCTCAAAGAAAAAAAGGTTAGGTGCGAGAAATAGTGATGTATGCTGAAACTACATGAAATAGCTGTTTTCCGTATTTCATGGCGTCCAGAGGGTGATAAAATATTCTCCAGGGTACACTTTGCATGGAATTTCATTCATCCGAGAGCGTGTACGTATTACGTGCGTAATATACCAAAGAGAGTCATTGTTGTATCTGATATTATGCCACTCCCAGGCAAGAACCAAGTATATATGAACCTCCAAGGCATTCATATTAGACCAGCGCGAAGAATAGAACCGTCTTGACAAGATGATTGCTACACAATTTGCGACATTTCAACAGTCAAATTTACCTTTAAGTCTTGTTTCTTTGCATCAATCGCTTTTCTATGCCCTGCACGTTCACAGGAGGTACCGAGAAATATTCGAATTGCAACATACTCGTAATTTATATTACTACATATTTTGAATATTTGATGTGCACCTTTCAGGAGATATGATTCTTTTCTTACAAGGGAACTCCTTCGACCAGCACACGTTGATTTTGATGAAATTTATGTGAGACATAGTACTCAAAAAACACCCTCAAAATTGAGGGTTTGAAGTATATTTTATACAGTATCCCTGAAACTAGAGGGCGCAGAAAAGAAATCTAAATTGTCCATTTAAAAAGAGACGAACAATTTAAAAAGAACATTTCTTTTCTACACCCCTTAGTTTCAGAGATATTGTAAAAAATATACTTCCAACCCTCAATTTTGGGGATGTTTTCGTACCTTTAAAGTGAATGTTGGCCGATAAGAAAGGATACATGTCAAATATTTTCTTGAGAACCATGTCTCACATGAGTTTCATCAAAATCGGCGTGTGCTGGTTGAAAAGGTTCTCTTGTTAATATAGATTACGTATGATACACACTTTCTTTTTAGTTTAATTTCGTATTCTCATCGAAGAACTTTTTGATGGCTATTTCATTTGCAATTTAATAGTAAGGCAGTGCTTTGTTGAAACGAATACTGCGTTTTTGATTACAAAATAACAATGTGAAAATTAATGACCATTTTTCATTGCTCTACACTACATAAAAAAATTTTTTGAAGCAAATACATCCTCAAATTTCAAACACAACTAAATGAATTACAAAACACTCTGTATTCGTTACATTTATGTAATTATGAGGTAGTATAGTATACAAAAGATTATTAAGTGGTAGAGCTTAATTTCGGCCAAATTGACCTAATTACTGTACGGGGATTACATATTTACACTTGCGAATTGAGAACATTAGTTAGCAGTGATAATTACACATTGACGGTAATGTTAATTACACATATGTACGTAATAATAACAATAACGGTCCAAGGAGAAATAACTGGAAATAAAATAGTTATGGAAACTAAAAATAACTAAAAATAAAATAAATGCTGTAATAACATTGAGAACGTGGAAAATAAGTACTTAATATAATTTTTTTACTTGTTTTATAGAAATCTATATTTATATAACAAATTACTCGCATATAATATATTAAGCATAATCTTTTTAGAACTATCGCAGCGTGCACTGTGTAAGTAAATACACTGCTAATCCAAAGCACATGTATTTGAAGAATCAATGAAAAGGTATCGATTTTTTAAAATATTATATTTAAAGCACAAAGAACATTGTCGAGTGCCTGCTCTTAAAAAAGTATTATACACACATCATGTACCACTCGAAAAAATAAAAATATTTTTCTCCAAAAATGATTTTAATTCAGACATCTGTAACTATGTTATATGATGTTTTTCGCGAAATTATTGCAATTTTTAGATATCGATCACTTTTAGCCAATGCTAGTAGGTCACTGAGCGCGTCATAGTTTTACTTCGATGTAGCTGCAACTTAAAATTGCCATAATTTATTACCGGTAGCCTCTAAACCCAATCGTATCATATGACGAGCTGTACTCACATCAAGATTTTTCACTATATATAACATATATGGTCATATATAAATCATATAATCGGATAAAAATGTTTACTAATTGATTTTCATGATTATTTAAAAATTATATGCTGCTGCTGATTACACTACCCCACTACTAGGGTATTTAAATCAGATTCCACTGACACTTGCGAAGATATTTAAACGCAAAGTTCCGAATATCTAATTTTATTATTTTTTAATCTAATCGTTATTTAAAAGTCGCTGGAAAACGAACTCTTCGAACGAGAATACCGTATTAAGGAGAAAATTCTCGGGAATCTGTATCGAATTTTATTAAAACATAATCGTTGTAAAACGCAATAAGAAAATCATAAGTGAAATATTTGCGAAATTTCCAACAATTGTACAAGATGTCATTCCATTATTCGAAGGACATTTGAAGAATAACGGAATTCGAGGACCTCGTCAGTCTCAAAGGGAGAATTGCAGAATCCTTAGAAAGGAATAGTATCTACAGTTGTAGCCTAACCATACCTTCAAAAATGTTTCTGGATAAATCAGGAATACGAAGAGTAGTAAGTATTCTTCTTATTTCAACTGAATATTTTATTATTAATTTACGAATCTGATTTTACATTATTATAACGTTTTAAATTTTGTTATTGTTACGTTTTGAAAGGTATCTCAAAGGTAGTAGCATAATCATTTTACAGTATCAGTTTATTCACCTTCACTATTTTTATGAACGATATTATAAATATAAAGTATACAATGTATGTTTGTTAAAAATATTAACACAGGTACAATTTATGATAAATAAATGAGAGCAAAGTGAAAATGAATCTTCTGCATAAAATACAGATATGCACGAAACTATATTATAAGAGCAAAACTCTAGTCTTTAAGAGCAACAGGCTTAAGAGTTGCTTGTTTCTGTTTATCCTACCCTCGTTGCATCCTACACGTTTTTAAATGAGGCTACTTCTTGTAGAAAGTCTTTAATCAAACCGCTTAACGTCAGAAATGGAGGAATCAATTGCATAGATATTAACAAAGAAAAATAGTGTCATTTGTGAATACATTGAGGAAATAAAATAAAGCAGTTAACTATATTTCAGGAAAATATTTAAAACGTAATAAATGTTGATGTGTCATTACGAACGGTAGAATACTAATCAACGAAATGTGGAAGTTAGACAAAGCTATGTAATAATTAGTTATAAAGTAAACTGTGCGTGTTATGAAAGAATAATAAAATGCCTCCAATATCCCAAACACAGAAAGTAACATAAGAAATTATACGGAAATTTCAAAACGGAAATCAACGCCTAAAAATAAATTGATTTTACAAGAATTTTTTTATAAGAAATTCTCATTTCATTTGCACAAGTACTCTTTTCATTAGGCTATTACTTCCCAAGAATTAAATTGTCCGAATGTTTCTCACATGGAACGAACTTCCCGTACATCCATTTATATTTTCATTCACAAAAAATAATTTTACGTAATTCTATATATAAGATTTAATCATTACATTTACCTAAATAAATAAACACGATTGGAAACAGTGATGGATGATGCTCCAATAAAAAACGCTTTAACGAGGCAATCGTTCAGCGAATATTTATTATTGACAGCCCTTCGAAACAATGAAAATTTGAGAAATTCGAAGTATGTACTTACCGAACGGTAGATTAAATCCGGAGAAAAGTAATATAACACAAAGACACGAAAAGGTTACACTTGTCGAAGTACACATGGCGCACGGTGCACTATTGTCGACAGTTATCAAACACCCGTGCCGTATCGTACGGCCACTCGCGTGGCTCTGAGAGTCCCCTCGTTAGATTTGGAGTTTGAATCTCGGTCTTACTCTGTCTTTCACTCTTGCTCCTGTACGCAGCCACCAAACGCGGTCCAGCGCCTGCCCGCTGACAACATCGAAAATTAATATCTCAGAGTAGATGTCACCACCTCCCAAATGAAAAGTGAATGTAGGTAAACGAATTGTAGAATAAATGACAAAATGTAGGTTTCAATTACACATTAAATATTATCACATCAGAATTTTGAAAGCAGATATCCTTGTGTATTCTTTTCGATATTTAAGAAACTCATTTGAAACGCTAATCGAGTATTAGTAAAACAGTTTTCTTTGCTCTAATTACAGAACGTGAAGTACCCGATGTTGATAAAACAGTACGTTACACTCTCGAAAACGTCGACATTCCAATTTAGTTATAATTTTGAAAATAGATTTGAATTAAGTAAAAAAACAGCATCTACCAACAACATTTTTGACGATTCAAATATCAATCACTAAAATTTAGTAAAACGCTTTTTACCATTTTAAGGTATCTCCCATCATTACCGATGGAACATAGAACACAATTGTAAATTACTGGATACCTTTTTTGAATAATGTGCTGAATAGACATATATAATAGCTAAACTTCCGGAATTTCGTCAAATATACGTCAATTTCAATCATCATATCGTACGTCAAATATAAATTGATTGGGTTGAAATTTTGCATAGCTTCACTTTTCTACGCTTATCAGCAATTAAGTTATTGAGAAATGTTACTCAGTATGATATCCTTGATTACATACGTGAATGTCAAGATTATCACCGCGGTAACGTTTAATGTAAATAATTATCATGTTTTACCTTTAACACTTTAACTGCTACGTCACTCGAATTCAGCTGACACCACTTTTTACATAAACTTAAGCAAAAATATTCTTGGTGCCATATCGAATGAATCGAATTTTGTCGGATACATGAGATATAAGAATAACAGAGCACTGATTATGAAGAATTTTGAGGTTTCAATTTCTGTTTTACCAAACAAACTGTTTCCACTGCATAGGGGTTTTGATGAGTGTCTATTTGGCAGTTAAGAAAGACTTATAAAATTTTCATAAGAAAATAAAAAACCTTTTATCTTTACACATACACATTTACTCGATGTGTGCAACATGCGTATCGTATGTTAACTTAATGAACAAACATTTCAGTTATACAAAAAGAGAATTGTGCAAACTTATTTTTTTTTTCGAATGCAGCTTATGACAAAGATATCGATTCATAATTCAGAATTTAAAGATGTTCTACCATTTGTTAAGATGTATAACAGCTCCCTGAAAAAGAAACGATGATACGTTCAAAAGTCAATAATTATTTGATACTTACCAGTTACCTTTAATAAAATTCCAGATATATCACTGAATCAGTAACAAAAAAATAAAATGAACTAAACCTCCAATCAGATATCATCTGAATCATCTAGACTCTGTTTGAGCAAAGTGAAATATGATACTGCGGTACTCATGATCTGTAACAAGTGAATATGTAATTAAAACTTCTTGATAAAATATAATTTGATTTTATTGAAAGAGAGCATCAATTTATTGTCTACATACATGTTTATATAATAAAAAAAAACATGTTGAACGTATATTCACTGGTCCAAAAAAGTATTACCCTATACAGGTAATTCTCGAACAATGGGATATACGCATTTAATGCGAAGAAAAATTCAGTTAATGCAAGGTTCGTAGAATTTCTTTCATCGATACAGTCTTTTGTAAACATGCAAATTAACAAAGACTTTAACACAGCACTGCCGGGTGGTCATCACACGTATGAAAATACGAAGAAGCAGAAGAAAGTGGAATCCACAATTAAAATACGTTGTAAAACGAAAGACATCTTTATTTTATAATAAATTAATAAAATACGTGTGAAAAGATACGTTTAAAAATATTCGTTGTACATTTTTTCCATATTAAAATGAATTCTTACATTTCAGAATAGTTGAGATCTATCTGTGTACTATTTCCAAAAACAGGGATTTTGAATAGTGAATATAAAAATTGTCCGAAAGAAAGAAATTACAGAATTCACATTCATTACCGTCCTATAAGTATCCAACGATATAGGAAAAAATCCACATGCCGTTAAAGCACAAACTTTCTCAGATCGTAATATAACAAATAACAAAGTGCGTCGAAGCGTTTTTCCAGTTTGGGTCATGGGTATGAGATTCCAAGGTGCTGAAAACGCTGCGTAATGAATGCCTTGGCTTTGTTCTAGTAATCCGTTACAGCTGTACGTAAACATGAATAGCAGGTAGGAACTGCCCACCATAAGAAATATAAAGACATAACGTCTTGTGACACTTAAATCTTTTGCCTGTAAAAATATTTATAGGACAATCGAACACTGTATTATAGAACATTAAATATTTGAAAGAATCCAATTTAATGTAAACTGGAAATACGCAAACTCAAAAACAATGAACGCGTAATATTTCGATTTAAAGGTTTATTGTAATTTGTTATGTCCGACTTCAGTTTATCTTATTACTATTACTATCCACTTTCGAAAAAATTACTATTGGTGGTAAACCATAATTATTATTAGGAAATAATAATTATTATTAACACATTCACAGATAACTCATAATAATATTACTTTCTCCCAGTAGAATAAATTAATAAATTTTCAAATTAGAATTGATTAAATAATTTAATTAAAACCTTCTTCACTGAAGCACATGAGAATATGCATGTTATTCTTTCAAATTTTTAATTATAATGTTTCCACTACATAAGTAAATATCCCGAATAAAAGTGAGAAAAACTCAAACCTGAATTGCATATTAAATTACACCCCTACATGAGCCTACATTCTATAGTGCAAACTTTGTTATTTATAAAGAATCACCGAAACTATAGATGTATGCTTCGTCAATAATTATAATATCGCAAATGAAATTATCATGAAATTATTATTCTAAAAACTGTCAACTTATCAACATACGGTGAATACGAACCAGGAATACTTCGTATCCAAAAAGGCATATTAGTACACTGAAGATTAATACTTGGCCGAGTAGTACAATTGTAAAAGAACTTTCCAACTGGTTGCAATAATTTATAAGCGCTTGATGATGTTGCACGCACTTTTTTAATTGAGCGTAAGATTTTTTGGCGTAATCCGTTAGATTTGTACTTGCAGGTTGATTCGGTGTCTCCTTTCCTGTGTCGGATAGCTTTGTAAGTCTGTACTGTAGTATACGAAACTGACCAGCCGCATGCATATTCATAATGCACAAGAAGTTGTCGAAGCAAAAATAACATACACCAGTGTGATACAAGTTAAATACCTAATAAAATAAAAATTTCCTTACTATCGTATTTAATGTAATCACATATAAAAGAAATTATTGTACTTTCGATGTTATGCTAATATAGGGAAGTTGTATTTCTATCAGATAAAAAAAAGTCAATCTTGCCACAGCTCTGTCGGGATCGCGCGTTAGTTAAGCCGATCATTTGTTCAAAAGTGTTGTAGGGCAAAGGGATTCATCCGCACGCTCCACCACGGCATGCGGTTCGGCCAATAACAAGGACGTGCCGAAACCGAGCCGCCATTACTATTGTGATGCCCTTTGACGTCAAGATAAGATACAATGCCCTTTTCTCAGTAGTGACGCAATGCTCCATTTTACAGTAGAAGACACGATCCCCACTTTCTACCCAAAATTCATGTATAAAAAGACCCACCAGAGAATGAATCAAGCAATTGTCACTTAAAAGTCTAACCTTCCGTCTTATGTACTTTCATTCTTCTAATAGGGATAAGCGAATTATTTCGTTTGTCGTATAATATCGACCCTCCCGCAAATAACAGAATTAGGAACGAGTGAATTCCTTCTATACTACACAGATACAGTTGGAATATCCCTTGAAATTACCTTAACACGTTGAGTGCTGCATCAGTCCCTAGGGACTGACAGTGAACTTTCCGTTCAAGCGGCGTCAGTCCCTGGGGACTGACAGTAGATTTTTCGTTTGGGCGGCATAAATTCTAGGGACTGACAGCGAACTTCTCGTTTGGTCGACGTCGGTGCATGAGACCAGCATTTTAAAGGGTTAAATTATTAATGACAATTAAAAAATTTATGTTAAAATTTAGTGTACTCCCGTGGCTTTTTCAGGCTGATCGTTTCTTGGTGTTCGCACTTTTGTCTCTGTGGCATTCCCCACCCCATTATCTTATGTTTATACATTGTATACGTGTGCATTGCCCGCACCCTTGTCACAGTGTAAACGACAAAAGAAACAGTGAAAAAAAGGAATCGTCTGTTGCGCTGTGTCGCGCGATCTAGTTTAGCGTTCGGCATCAAATGCTCACGCGCTGCCGCCTGAGCGGAAAGTATAGCAAAATCGGCGCCGCACTGAACGTGTTAACCTTTAAATCTATACGAAAGAGATGTGTAGTGATCTCCCATTGCCCCTCTTCACTTTTCAGCCATAGACAGGCTTCGCTAATGTGAAATCCCTACCGTACTTAAGCCCATTTTGACTTTTATTCGCCAACGAAATATATTACCAATAATATTTATTTAAAATTTTTTACTCATAGTAATTGCATGATAATAATATAGTAAATTTGTATTAAATGTACAATAATGTACTAAAATAAGTCATAGATTTCTTTCTATAAGTTGATTGTATCAGCTTTTGCAATTCTAACTAACAATAGAGCACCGTAAAGATCCGAGAGAACTGGATAATTTGAAGAACTAAATAAAATTAACGCAATTATGGTAGTAGAGTGAAAACAATCTTGAATAGGATTCAAATAAAACTTTACTTGAATAATAATAACAAATAAAAAATTAATCATTATTCGGGTATTTGTTATTGAAGTTATTTGTTTCTTTTGTGAATTCTTATACTATATGTAAATATTAAATGCAAATCAATTAAACTGTATAACTACCTGTATAGTTAACCAATTAAACTGTATAGGTACCTAACAGGTAACCCCCCTATAAAACAGTAGATAAGCAGGCTTCTGAAAAATGCTGTGTTATTTGAAACTGTGTACAGTATTATACGACGGTTTCCGCAAGTGTTAGAGCGAAATCGCGTTGTAGGATGCCATGCTGTAGGAGGGCTACCTGTAATTTTTGTTACGAATATCATTCTTTTACGCAAACATTATTGGTAATTAATTATTCAAACCCGATTATTTCAATAAGAAAACGAACCAGTGTTGTACGTGACGAGATTTATCATTTCCCTATAAAGAAATGTGAAGTTATTTAAAATATAGTACCTGTAAGACAAATGTTATTTCGAAGATAGGGGACTTTTGAAAATACGGTATCCAGAAATGGAATGGAAGCATTCTTTCAGTTTCGTTCTTTCCTATGTTTTCTGAAATGCAGACGCATATAACTTAATAATTTTCGGCTTTAAAGGCTTATTGCTTTTGTGAAAGGTGTAATCAGGAAAATTCATCAGTAATCTCCCGATATCTCGTTCATATGTTCGTAACTTTAATAATATATATGATAGAGATGATTATAATTATAATACTATTACAATACAATTTTTGTAAGACAAGGTAAATGCTTAGATAAGGAAAATACAATACTTTCAGACAAGTACGTAGGTATATAAATATGTTCGTTCAACGTTAACACTTCATAGGTGGATGTCATGTTCCCAGTTTTTAACAAGTAGCGAACAAATCAACTTAATAATTTACAAAAGTTATTGACTTGTAGGAAAAGTGATTCTTTTTTTCATATTAATTTTCTATAATTCAGGCTGAATTTCTTTACTTAAGTTTTGTTTTTACACCTTTGCTCTCCAGAGGCTTCTCTCAGTCGCCAGCAGATTTGACACGGCAAGAGTGTAAAGTCTTGTATTTAATATTAAACTTTGTATAATGCATCAGTATGTAAAATATTGAAGTAAAAATAATTTTGCTCCTCAGTTTATGTGCGATTTCTGATCAAATCAATTTCAGATAATGTCGTTTGTATCTCATTAGAAAATGTTGAGTATTTCCAGTGAAAAACTTCTGGAATGCATAGGGTCAACATTACAACGAAGAAATTATTATTAAATTGCGTTTGAGAGTTCCCACGCTATGATTATTGCGAAAAATCTTAAAAACTATGGTGGCACTAATTTTTTGATCAGGGATTGAACTTCTGTACCTGAACAATCAATATTCAGAGCCATAAAACCAAAATAGCATACTGCACTATGAAGTTGTATTACTTACCTATAAGCGGTGCTACAACGTAACAAACCATAGTACCATGTGCTGTGAGGATAACGAATGAGACAAAAAGAATACTATATTTGCTGGTATCAGCCATAATCTGTTTCTCGCGCTCATCATAATTACCGTTCCAAAAATGTTTCCGCGTGTATGCCAACAAGTCCAAAAGTTGCACTTTGTACATTGGTAAAATAAATATTTTGATCGTAACCGTTATGATACTCAGGAAATTACAAAATGAATACATCAGCATCTACAAGAAATGTTTAAATACCTTAATCAGATACTTCGTAAATAGTCTGCAAAACCTTAATTTAATTTACAAATGCATTTTTGTGTAGTGCAAAAGTCTATAAAATAAAAAGAAGAAGTAAAAACTGTCATAAAGTTCCATGCAACGTAATTTTCTTACTCGGGTGAAATCATTAAGCAAGAAAACGAAATTCTAACTACAGTTTCCCTAGTCTAACTATTAAAATTTCAAATTCGCATGAACATTAGCAATTTAGATATAGATGTAGTGAAAACAAATGTCTTTTACACAAGCAACTCATTCATGGTATCTTCTTAAAGATTTCGAGTTCAACTCATTGAACAATTTCAAATAATTTAAAATCGGTTTCAGAAACTGGTAATTTTATTCATCGTGTTTAAAAAAATATAAAAGTTTCCCTACATGCTCTTAAAGTATACAGAAACAAGCATGCAAAATTTTGAATATCTAATTTGATTACATTTTCATTTTATTTTATTACTCACTGTCGAGAAAAGTGTTTCGCGTGTTCCGCCATATCTTCAACACTTTTACAAATTCCTCATTGAAATTCCCAGAATTTATTGTTAAATCTATGCAATTTCAAATGCTAGTAATAATTACTCACTGAAATATAATATAATACATGAAAATAATTGTAAAGTACAACTCTATCTTTCATGTGATTCCTAGATGTATCTATTCCTTTAAGGGACGAATGGGAAATGAGCCGAAGTTATTTCTTGCCAAATGAAATGTGAAATAGAAAATATGGAAAGTGTCAAGGAATAATTTTGGGACAATGTGAAAACACGAATTTTAATATTTGTTGTACTCACATCATGGAGCTTCCAGCGGAAATACATGTCCCTTACACTTATACACAGAGCAATCACATTTAGTAGTTGAGAATAAATTAGCGTGTAGTCTCTGATCCGCTGTTCCCTATCATTTTCTGCCGTCCACATGCCAGCTAACTTCATGAACAAAGCACATAGTCGGACTGAAATATCTGTTTGCTCCGTTATCTGCATTGCGAACGTTCAGTCAAATGACTTGATTCTTTGATGCATAACAGGTATTCTAGTTACAGGTATTCGAGCTCATCTGTCGATGTTTCGAAGTGATACTTCAACGAAGCCTGTTATTATGCAGATTCCACATAAGAAAAGAAATAATCAATTCGTTGCACGAACGACTGCGAATATCCCGGAGAAAGGATAATAAGGGTGATCGATTTCTGCATTTTCCATTATTCATGTATGACGAACACTTCACTGTCTGTAAAGGTGAGTTCTCTGACAAGGTAGGAAATTTTTTATTCGATTAATGATTTTTGTCATAGGTGGCTTGCAATCTCACGTATTCCGAGTTTCTTAGTGCAACAATGAAAGGTCTTAACGCTTTAGTAGTGTAATATTTCTAACGCCCCACGCATACTGTTTTAAGTATAATAGTCCTTAAGCGTATTAGACACGTATCGTACGGCTACTCGCGTGACTCTGAGAGTCCCCTCGTTACATTTGGAATTTGAATCTCGGTCTTACTCTGTCTTTCACTCTTGCTTCTGTACGCAGCCACCAAACGCGGTCCAACGCGTACCCGCTGACAACGTTGAAAATTAATATCTCCGAGTTGATGTCACTACCGCCCAAACAGAAATTGTATGTAAGTAAACGAATTGTAGAATTAATGACCACATGTCTCACAGTACCTTCCTAAATAATAATAGTACTAAACGTATCGCGACCAGTTTTAAAATTCGATTTAAAATTCTGTTTTCCTTCGTTCATTCAATTTTCTCTCGATTCCTATATTCTGTGATTAATCAGTTTTTCAATTTTTCTGTTTTCCTTTTGTTTTTGTTTTCATTAAGAAATACGTATTGCCTAACTTGTTGACATTGTTTTTCTAACCAGTTATTTCACTGGTTACGGTATGACTAGGTATATACAAAGTGCCGGTACGTCTAGTGTTAAACTACCCAGTTATAAATTCGCTCTCGCGAATATGCTTTAATAGTGGAGTGTGTGTCGTCGAGGAACATTCGAGTTTCCGTACCTGTAACGCCCGCATATCTATTTACAAATTTCCTCCTGTCGACACATCTGCATCCCCTTTTCATTTTCTTAACACTTTAACCTTTGATAAAGTTATAAGCAAGGTGAAGTATAAAATAAGCTGAAAAACAATTAAACACCTTTACTGATTGCTTTTCATATAAATTCATTAAGTTGCGTGCAGATATAATTAAACTAATTATAATTATTTTTAAAAGCTATGAACGTTGAACCGGCTGTAAGGGAATGCTATGTCGTGTCAGACTCGACGTTGAACAGCAAAGGGTTAACACCAGGTCACACATTATCAATTACTGAGTATTGCAAAGTATTCAGGATAAAAAAGCGATAATCCTATTATAGGCGTCCCCATTTTTCTTATCTTTTTATACTGCCTTAACACTAGAACTACCAAGCAGTTAATATGATTGATATATAATCCTTATAAAAATCGTACCAATAGATTATTTCCAGGTTCATCAGAAATTCGTTATAGCATTTAAGTAAAGCTATTTATTTTCAAGATCATTTTGAATAATCAATGCTTTTAAAGTATCAATAATTGCAAACTGGAGCCGAAACCAGTCATTTTGACCCATCGGGTAGTTCTAGTGTTAAATTTCTTTCCTTCGCTTCTATTAGCCAATTCCCAAACCCAACTGTTTGTTGTTGTGCCGCCATCTTTGTTTTTGTGGTTATTTCGCCATTTCTTTATCTAATGTGTTTACTTCTTGCCATCGGCCATTAACCTAATCCGTTAATCCAAGCTACTGTCCCTAATGACTTGTCTGTGACTGTGAGTAAATTCCAAGTGTAATTCATTATACTAATTTCCACTCACGCTTCATACTGCTTTGTCCAATATCCCTATAAAAGCCACAACCACTTTAAAATGCATCCTTCGTTTTACACAGTTTTACCGCTAAAATTTATACGTTTATATAAAAATTTATAAAACAATTAAATATTACATATATATGTAAGAAGTGACCGAGGTCCAAGTCTATACAACGCGTAGTCACGGTCCTGACTAGTCATGGCCGACGAGCGATGGCCGTGTGGCGCCAAAGCTGTGTGCACGCACTCTTCGCGGAGATTTTCTTAACCTGTCCGAAAGAAAAACCGTTCCCACGTTTTCTGCTGAGGGGTTCCTCTTCAGAAATGTCTGCAGAATCCAATGGTGCATAGCAAATTCGTGCTAGCCAACCCACTTATCGTAGAAATGTGACAGAAGTGCGTACGAAGTATGCGCATCTATCCTTTCTTAAATATTGATCATCGTTTACAAGCTTTTAATAATACGCAATATTTAAAAATTTTATAGCTACATATTCGGGCAATTGTCCTCTGTTTTTTATGACAAACTTTAACTGCCTATCGGTGTTAGTTCTTACGTAACACTTAGTTCTCTGAAAAATTCGATCGATTTTACAAAAATTCAGTTTTTTCAAAAACTGAACCTGACCCAGCAATTTGGTTTACGGAATCGTATTTAGGGTAAGGAACTCTATAAAAATCACCCAGTGATTATTGTAAGACACGAAAAAAGTTCAAAATTGGTTCCACAATGTTATTTGTGTCGTGAACACCCATCCGAGCCCTAACGTTACAAAATTTCAGCCGCCTGCTTAAAGGTATTAACCAGAAATTATGAGACTGTTATTAAACAGAAAAATTGTAAGATTGAATATCAGTGAAATGTAATTGAACTGTGATATAACAGAGGAGGATGTTAAAAAATGGAAATGTAAACTTCAAACAAGGTTGCATTTAAAAATATTAACATAACCTTCGCAGGACATTTCAAGGTCCTCTTAAGTTTATACCGGTGAAAGTACATCGTAGCGCATATAATGTTTACAATCTAACTAGATAGCTAATTATATTTACTCGATTTACTGTCTTATTACATATACAGTGAATTATAAAAATATTCGGACACTTAACGGGGTATGCTTAACTTTAACCGCCCATAACTTTGCTAATTATGAAAGAAATTAACTCAAACGTATTTCTTTCAATAAAGTATTTATTGTACTTTATCAATTTGCACAACTTAATTATCTAACTCATTGTAGTACAGTAATGACATAAATTGAATTAAATGATCGTAATTTTTCGCGTTACACATATCACATGTATAAACGCAGTTCAATGTGTAGTACCAGATGACAAAATCCAGTGAAACTCCCTATATATGGGTAGGATGAATGGTTTGTTGTGCGTGCGTAAGGGCGACCAGGTCGTATTGCGACGGCCCGGCGCCGGGATGTTTGGAAAATAGTGCGACTGCGTTTAGAAAATCTTGAGAGGCTGAAAGAATGCGAGGAAGAGTGTCTGGAACTGAGCGATTGGACCGTGAGAAAAGCATGTACGTGACTGCGTGAGTTTTGACTATGGTCGAAAGACGCGAGTGAGAAGGGTGCGAGGGTGAGAAAGACAGAGCGAATGGGGGTGTGTGTTAAAAACGAGTGGGAATGCGTGCACGAGGGACATTTTGTGCGAGACAGCGGAGGGGAACATTCTTGTGCGTGATAACGGATAGAGAGACATTGTGGAGCGTGATCTTTTTAGCGAGTAACATTTAGCGAGACAGCGAGTTATAATATAATAAAGTATTTGTTATTATTATCTAGTGAGTCTTTCGTTTCTTTTTATTCTTCACCACAGCAACACGTGGGATTTAAATAAAAATAACCCTACATATGTGTGGGGTCCGACGCGTAAGGCCAGATACCGCAGGTATACTCGGACCGTTACGACCAGGTCGCTTGGACGCAAATGGTTGGCAGGTGGCCGACGATGGCCAGCAGGATCATGCCCCGTGTTGACGGAACTAGTATTTAAGATGATTATAAGACCTTTTTCGACAGAGAGTAATTTTGCGAGTTGAGAGGAGCGGGTCAGTGTGGACTAGCGTGGAGAGTGTAGTTGCATGGTTGACACAGTGTAGTGGCGTGTGTGAGAGGAGCAGGTCAAAGTTGATAGCGTAGACGTGTAGTTTGACAGCCTAGAGTAGTAAATCAGCGTAGTATTGCGTAGAATAGATTAAGACACATAGTTTAATTTAATTCTAGTTGCTTATAGTCCATTGCAATAAACATACAAATACACGTAGGCTTGTTTTCGCCAAAACCTCCGCCATCCCACATATGCATGTTTACTTCACTTTAAATCATAGAAGTTGAAAAATAATATTTAATTTAAACACTGTAGAAGTTTTGTATAAATTGAGGAGAACGTGTAGCGATCATCGCTCGCCAACCTAGGTTGACAGTTCAGTGCAATATAGGGCAGGCCATAAGTTAGAGAGCTGTACGGAGTGTAAAGGCGTTACAGGTCATAAAGAAAATTTGGAAGGAACGGTCCTTATTTGAGTTTTAGCTTGAGTCGATTTTCCTTGACTCAGATAGTCGGAATACTGTCGCTGTTGCGAACCGTCGTGTGTATAGAAACTAGCAATTCCTACGTCTCTGATATTTGCTTTGTTTATATTTTACATATGTTCAGTTAACATGTTAACTGCCACGGTAGTCACCGATGACCGGAACTTCCAAATTACTTGAAAAGGAGTACAAAAATGAAGCTGATATCGAATCAAAATATTTAGTAATATAAGTTAATAGTGTAACCTAAGAACTATGACATAAAATTGTTAATAACTCATTGTGATACTATTTGCCTTTCTTATGAAAGAATAAGTAATATTGTATATTATAATCCTAACGTTTTGACTACATATTTTAATTTCACAACCATCATAAAGAATTTAGTGCTATTTGGCCGACTGACGTAAAATTTTAAAGAAACAGAGAAGAAGAAGAGAAAACACCAAATATAAAAATTTAACTTTGGGTATTTGGTAATTTTCGAGATATTAAGGAGGAACTTTCATTAAATATATTGAACTGTACCTATTTATACAGATATGAGAATGCAACAATCCTTACTGTAGGAATCATTTTTGCCGAGTATCAGGTAGACAATGACACGTAGCGCCACCCACTTTACTTTCTACGAAGTGTTCAATCTAAAATCAGTTTCTTACAATATATAGAAATGTGTTTCATATACAGCGATACTAGAGATTGGTATTAACCCAAGAACTACCGTCGTAACAGTCAAAATGGCTGGTTTCGATTGTTTTCTTTCGCAATTATTGATATCTTAAAAGCATTGAATATTTGAAATGATCTTGAAAATAAATAGTTTCCGTTGAATACTGTAAAGAATATCAGAAAAAACCGAAAATATTCTGTTGCTACAATTTTTATAGGGAATACATATTAATCGTATTATCTATATTACTATTATCTATCCTACTATCCTCGGTAGTTCTAAAGTTAAAGGGGCTAGTTCTTTCAAGTTGTAGAAGTGGGATCCTTATTTATATTTCTAAATAGTTCGTGCATAATGTAATAATTATGTAATATATTAATAAATATAAGAGGCATTTCTTGTAAAATTGGTGGCTCCCGAAAGAGCATTTGTGTCTCTTTCCTTTTTTTAAGTTTCTTTGTTGACTAGTATTGGTAGAAAAACACGAAAACTATATGCTTCAAAAGGAAGAAATTTGAAAAGTGAGAGTCTTATTTTTTATTCTTCCGTATATTTTGCGCCGTTCTCCTACAAACCATTCGAAAGATTTGCCAGAAATAAGTAACTTGGCACTCTTTTGATAATGGCGTATGTCCTCGAGAGCTTTCATCTTTGCCGATTGTTTATTCTTTTCTTTAATTACAATATATAATTAATGCGCATCATTTTAATAACCAACTACAGCAACCAATTCTCGTCAACGATCAATGTGGTTTGCAGCAGATGTTACACTGCCACCTTTATTTATGTCGTCGGTATTTACACGTTCCAGCTGCTCATTGGCTGGCCGAATGGTGGGGATAGAATTGTCCATTCCATATATAAGGCTCCAAAAACGGGCGGCCATTATCAGAAGTGTTTCGTTCTTCAAAGTGTTCACGTTGTATTTAGAAAACTTGGAAAATGACTGGTCGCGGAAAGGGAGGAAAGGGTTTGGGAAAGGGAGGAGCGAAGCGTCATAGGAAGGTGTTGCGTGATAACATCCAGGGTATCACGAAACCTGCGATCCGTCGTCTGGCTCGTC